AGGCATCCAGGTCAGCAAGGGACGGGCCTGCAAGAGACAACTTTAACAAGTTGCGACCTCCTAAGGTTCCGAGCCTACCTCGTTCTAACTGAAAGTGCTTGAAGATAGCACGCAACATGATTCTCCCTACGGGCATCCCACCTGACGAGATTCTCTCTTGTTCAACCATATTCTGAAACAAGAGCCCGAACTTACCTTTGCGGCAGGTCTTAAGGAGCTTTGCGGCTATTTCACGATCTAACCGTGGGAAACGCTTGTCCGCGACGAGTTCTTGCTCGGTGGAGGACATGCATGCTTGGGCCCACTGGTAAACTTCATCTCCGGGGGTCTTCTGGAGTCGACCGATGGCCATCAAAACTTGGTTGATGAAACCTCTAGCCTGACCAGCGTTCTCCGGAGGGGATGGCAACACGAGATCCTTGAGGTCCTTGACGCGAACAACGGATTCCTCATGCGTGGCGTGATCGGTGACGGTCATGCCTACACTAGGATCGGCAGCTTGAGACGGGTCTGCATTGGGGAACTGGCCAGGGCCTCCCCCACCTCCCCCACCACCATTCATGGTGAGGTATGGGCAATCAGTGTCTTCATGGCTGCCGCCGCAAACTCGACATTGTGGGGTATCATCATCTCCATTGGAGTCTGATGATGTGTCGGAGCTTGCTGCCGATGGCGCTTGCGGGGATGACGAGTATAACCCTCCCAACATTGTGATTGGTACTGGTGGAACATGAGTGCCATTGCCAGCTTTCGGCGGAGGCGGCGCCCCAAAAAGGGGAATGGGAGGCACTGGAGGTGGTGCGGCCGGAGGCGGAGGTGGCGGAGCCACTTGATTAGCAACCAATTGGGAAAGCTGCTGAACCATTTCCGCTAAAGCCGTCACTTGCACTCTCACATCGGCTTGATCCCTTGAACCGTCTCTACCCAACCCGCTAGTCCTCGACGCGCCGGGGGCTGCGTCTCCAACAGAGGACGCTGCTCCTAGCACTGCCGAATGGCCTACGAGATGTTGACTTGTTGCACCCCCACCAGGGTCCCTTGAATCAGCTGGGGCATCGTGACCAAGTCCTGAACTTTGAACAGAACCACACGGAGGGTCGGGGATAGTACTTGTAAAAGCATTCCCTTGCGACGATGCGGCAACACCGGAGGCATCTTGTGAACTTGAAACCTGAGGTGCTCCAACCGGCTGATGGGTTCCTGGGGGAACTGTGCCTTGACTTGAGGCTTTAGCCGCGCTTGTTTCCGTAGCTGTTTCGGCTATTGATGCGGCTTTCGGCGGGGACTCTTGCATCGGAACAGGGGTCGCACGAGCTTGTTGGGTGAGCTGCGCAACAACACGTTCGAGATCACCAAGTCGTTGATGCATCACAGAATTTTCCTGAGACAATCCACGAATGGTATGCTCTTGACTGGCAATGGTTTGCTCCCTTTGTAGGATTGCCTGTTGAGCCTCTTGAACAATGCGTTGAACCTCTTGCTGAGCGTCCTGTTGAGTGGCATTAACAACCTGTCGTGCGTTCTCGACATGGCCTAAGGCTTCCTGTCGTGTCTGCTCAATGAGTTGCCTAGCCTGAGCCTCACTTTGTTGTGCTGTTTGAACAGCCTGCTGTGCTTGCGAAGCTAGCTGAGCGGCCTGAACCCTAACGTCTGAAACTTCTCTTACAGCCCTTTCCCTGATCCATCCGGCCTCTTGTCTCGCCTGATCGGCGGCCTGCTGTTGATGCAAGGCGTGATTGGCTGCCTGAGCAGCGAGGTCGGATGCTCGATGAGCTTGCTGCACCGCAGCTCCAGCTATAAATGCCGCAGCGGGTACGTTAGTCATCGGGTCAGGTAATTGCGATCCCTGTGAAGGAAACTGAATGGCTGGGGAAGCTTCGGATGATGTCGGTTCTGACACGATCGGACCACTCGGGGGTGATGATGGTCGTGTTTGGGCTGCTCTTTGAGGTGTGGATGTGCGAACTGTGGACATAACTGCAGGAACCATGGCTAGGTCAGGGTCATCCGGTTCGGAATCCCTATTTGGGGTTGACCTTGAACGGGGTTCTGATGGCGGTGACAAACCCGTTGAAGCCATGACACAGCAATGCAACTTTTGCACTCACACGAAGCTAGCTCCACGCGCTTTGAGCAGCGTGTCAAAAGGTGCTACGAGGAGATATCCCTGGATTGGCAGCTGATTGCGACACGCTCAAGTGAGCCACTCAAGAAAATACGTTGCGAAACGCTCAAGTGAGCCACTCAAGAAAATGCGCCCTGCTGCTTTGCACCTGATGAATTCTGTATTTGTAATTGTACTTGTAGATTGATTGATCCGCACTGCCGCACTATGGTGCTTTATCGAGGGATGTTGCCAAGCTGTATTGAGAATTTGTCTGCAAATCGAAGGCTTGTAATTGCAAAAGCTGTACCGCGCAAAGCGACGGTTTTAACGGCTTGCAGCAATGGCTATCGAAGTACCCGGCTGGCGGGCAGCTGGGATGCAGATCGGTGGATCTCCTCGAGGTACTGCGATGGATGCAGGCCCCTTGCCGCCGGAATGGATTGTCTGTTCCGGGACTCGATGAACTCACCAAGGTTCTCAAGCGCGTTGGCAAATCCGCTCGGACCGAAGTGCGGAAAGTTGCGGAACGCCGCGATGCCTGTCTTTTGAGCTTCACGGACAATCGATGCTGTATCGTCAATAAGGGCGTGTACGCCCAGCCCTTGCAGGGCGTCTGCTTTGCCTCCCCTTCCCAACCGTTCGTGAACGATTTTTATCGCAGAAAAAGTGAGTCCAGATGTTGTCCGCGCGTGCTCCAGGGCGACCTGAAATTCGCGGCGGCGATACTCGCTTGCAGCCCTGCCCACGAAGGATAGCACTATAAAATTTATAGGTGCGTAGTCCGCTGCAAACTGAACGAGATGTCGGATCACTTCCGGGTTGAGGTGGGGTCCCTGCTGCCCAACGTCAAGAACTCCGTGCCAGTCAAGAGCAACAACAAGCTCCTTGGGCGGCACCGGCCTTCCAGGCGGAGGTGGCGGCGGCGGGGGCGCAGGCGGTGCCCTCCTTGGTGGCGAGCGGAATCGCGTGCCAGCTTCAGGAGTTGCAGCGCTAGCAGCAGCTGCTTGAACGACCTGCGGAGGTGGCGGCTTGACGATGTACCCGAATTGTGGCGGGTTTGAGCTCGATTTGCTTCTGGGTTCGGCCTTGTTCAAGCCTCGCGGAGGTGCCTTGTAACCGAATGCACTCTGAGTCCGAACCGGAGATCTGGCCCTTGGCGGTGACTTCCTCGGGATATCTGCCTTTGCAGGCGCTGGAGAAACTGTCTTGGGGACCTCCTTGGGCACCGGTGGCTTGCTGCCGAAGATGACCTTGGGGGCGGCCTTTGGGGGCGGCGGTTGAACTGCCCCGATTCTTCGGCTGTGAAGCGCGATGGGCTCGGAGTGAGTCGGCGCCTCGTAAACGCGCCGAGGCACGTATGCTGACCTGCCCGTCCTGATGGACTCCAAGTTTTGCGGTGGGTCCTCGTCCGAGCTGTAGGCGTCGAGGCGGAAGGTTTCCGCAGGCGCCGGGCGGCGGTCAGGAGACCGTGAGCGTGAGCTCGTGGAGGACCTCCTTGGCGGGTCCCTCCACGTCTCGTCAGCGAGGAGGTAAGGATCGGCTTGGCGAAGCTGCCCAGACGTCCGTTGCGCTCGCCGACGAGGAGCCGCTTCACGTGGTTGTGATGCCTCCCGCACCAATACCCAGGTACCGTGTTCGTCAAACCTCGTCACAGGGTAAATGCTATTCTGTGGAGCCAAAACGATGGGCCGAGTGGCTAGGGAAGTTCTGGATGGCCTTCCCTCCCGCGCAAGCGCGGGTTCAACACTATGGGCCCGTGGTTCCACAGGGGCAGCAGCAGTTGGTCCTCGTCTCGGTGATGTCGATGGAGACCTCGACCTTCTTGGCGATGGGGACCTCGATCTTTGTGTTGATCGCTCCCTGCTGCTCTCCCGCCGCGTTTCCGCAGCTTTAGCGTATACCCCGCGAAGAGTTGACTTTGCGGCTTGTCTTTCCTCTGCAGATGGCCGAATGCGAGGCAAAGGAGTGCGCGAATCTTGCAACCAGGAGGAAGCTGATGGAGGCGTCGGAGGACGAAGCCAGTCCGCTGCACTGCTTGATGCTCCCGCCGCGCCTGAGGCTGCGGCTTGATCCTGAGATGGCGCACCCTGCGGCAATACCACTCCTGTGGTTTCAACCAATGCGAGACGCTGCTGATAAGCGTTGTCCGCGGCCTGGATCACGTCGAAGGCTTCTTGGTCAAAATTCCACAGGTGCCAACTATCCAGTGACTCACGCCAGGAGAAGAGCGCCTCGACCTGTTGCTTCGAGGCGTCCGCAAACCTGATCCACCGGAATCGTCTGTTCTGCCGCTTGTACTCGTCGACGACGATCTGTTGCAGAGTGTTGTACAATCGGGCACGCGGCCCTTTCCCACCGCGTGTGCCGCGGTGAGGGCCGACTTCCATGTGCGACCAACAGGTCGCAGTCACGGAAGGGTTCGTTTACCCGAAAAGCGTTACGGCTGATAACCACTCAAAGGAGAGGGAAACACAGTTTTGTCAACAACGGGGGAACCCGGGACCTTAAAAGGAACGAACCCCTCCGTGACTGCGACCTCTCCCTTAACCTTGGGGCTAGCGCGGTGCAACGCGCTGTTTTCAGCACTTGAGCCAAAGCAGTGATTGGATCATGCTTTGGCAACCACTTGAATGTACAACATGCAACTGACTACATGAGAACCTACCTCATGTACCTCTGGGCCATAAATGTCATCGTGATAATTGACTGATATGGGGAAAAATGCGAGTACTTTGTTGTTGCGGCGAAGCTCAGTAGTCCCACCTTCTCGTACCTCCCAAATGAACTGAACCTCATTCGGCAGCTAAGAGGGCGGCCCTACCCTTCATCTTGCCAGGTTTTGATTGTGGCTGGCGACAAATGAGGAAAGCAGCTCACCATGTGCAACCCAGTCCAGCATGTGTTGCCGGGTGCTCGCTGCATCCGGATATCTGCGGTTGCAGAAAAGGCAGCAGCAGTCTTCGTTGCACCTTGGCCCGTGAGAAGAAAGCAAACAAAACTCACTGAAAGCTGGGGGCTAGGCACTTTTGCCCCACATGAGAGAAAGCCGGGAATAGTTTAAGACACGTCACAAAGAAGAACTCCTGCCCTGCGATGGCGTTGTCATGGGCTCACAACACGGGACGCATACGTTCTTTCCTGTGAACTGTGCGCTCTGCTGCGGCCCGAGAATTTGAAAAGGGCTCTGCCTGAGGAGACCCCAATATCAAGAGAGTCCCATTAGGAGACTACAAGCCATCGCTCTTATGCTCGGGGTCCGAACCGCGAGGATGCAAGGCCGCAAACAAAGGGCTAAAGCGGACCTCAGTTGAGCCATTTTCACCATGATCTAAGCATGGTTCAGGGTTGATCCAAGACGGACACGGGGTGGTCATAGCTGTGAATAGAGCTTGACTCAGGGCCTCTGAAGAGTGGGTGTAGGCTTGGTCTGGGCCGGATCTGTAGGTGGACAACGCTATTGCCAAAGCACCATCAAACCAGGGGCTCTTGCTTGATCCTTTCAAGGTGTCTTGTCAAGCTCAGCCCCAAAGTGGGGCGGCAAACATTCACCAAGCCCCATTGGGGAGCTTCTCAAAATGGCTTCTGACCCCTTTTAAAGTTGGCATTACTTGTGGATCCCCTTTTCAAGTTGCCATTTATATAAGGGAAACCAAAAGGAAACCCAGCATGTAGGGCACCCCGACTTTGAGAAACCCCCAAAATGGCCGTTTTGTCCACCGCCGCCGAGGCCGGCGCTTCACCCAGAGATGTTCCAGGAGCCCACCCAGGTTGGTGCAGTAGTCCCTGTCCGGAACGAAGAAGTCGTAGGTCTTCCACCTCTCAGGAAGGATCCATCTCACGCGTTTGGTTTTTTGTTGGTGTCAAAAATTTAAAAAATGCCCTGCAAAACAGGCAAGCGGATCCTAGCAATCGGCGCTTCGAACTGACAACTGGAGGTGCGCATGCACAGTCCATCATGGAGATGTCTTCGGCCGAGTGACCAGGCCTCTCTCTCCGCTGAACCAACCGATTGCGCAAGGCAGATTCGTCGCCATAGAATTGCACGATATGCTTGGGGACAAATGACTACATATCCAAATCAAACCAACCCTGAGCCTAGATCGACCCTCCAATTTCACTCGCGGCTCCCGTAATAGGAGCCCGTTTAATGGCTGACTAAGTTCCCCAAGTGAAGGTGTGTTTTGGCAGGCCAAACGAACCCAAACCCACACCTCCAACTCACCCCTGAGCCAACAAACATCGACCCGAACCTGGTGTTAAACTTTAAAAGATGGCCACCTCCTTTAGGGTTCCTTTTGGAAAGAAAACAAGCTCACGGGTTTTTGTTGGGTACCCAGCATCCCTCAAACGTCCAGCCCAAGTGGCATGTAGGCCAAGTTCTTGTCCACAGACTCGAAGTGCCGTCGGTCGAAGAGGCACTGCCGCGGAGAGAAGACCGGCGCCTCGAACCGGAGAGCTCAGGAGAAAAAACCGACACGCCAAGGGTCGTAAACCAGCCAACCAACCGACCGACCGACCCGTGCTTAGCCCGTGCTTACCGCTTGGGTTGGCGAGAAAAGCCCGGGAAGTAGAGGAACCGATTTAAATTGGTTTAGGTCTGACAGGAAATAGAGGGGGAATGATGCCTGGGTATCGGAATGCCGCAGTCCGAAGTTGAGGCCTGAGACGACCAGGACACGATCCCCTTCACCGAAGCCTTGCTTCCGGGGTACTGGAAAAGACTGGTGTGGCAGCTCGGGGTCCCTGGTGTTCCTTGCAAAATCATCTATTGCAAGTTCAACCCTAAGCCCATGGCTCATCCACCTGCAAATCACACAAAAAAAACTCACCGTGGGTGGTTGGTCAGCTTTGGACAACCCCCAAAACAGGGTCTGTAAAGGATACACCTATATGTAGAAGCTGGTAAAGGTGGTTGTTGATTTGGCCCAACTGTATCCTTTTCCAAGGAACCCTGCGAAGGCGAATCAAAGGCCACTGCAACGCACACCGTGCCTCCTCCTCCTCCTTCTCCTTTGCCTCCTTCGCCTCCTTTTCAAGCTCGCTTCCGGCATAGCCTGTGAACCAGTGGCGAACAGGCCTTTTCGCCTTTTCGGAGCTACCTGGCCCTGGTGCTTTGGTGCAAAAAGACACCATAGGTATGGGAAAAAATACATTCCAAAGCTCAATGCGCAGGTTCAATCGTTTGCAACTGTCTCCAAACCCCTCATCGAAGTGCAAACCTTTTGACCTGCCTTTGGAGCAGTCTTCAAGGTTGCCAAAAGCTCAAGAAAATGAATTTGAAGAAATGAAAAGTTCGCCCCAGGTGTGATATTTCAAGGGAAATGTGAGCTCGAGCAAACACCAAGGCGCCGCCAGCAGGCTCCGCTCTCCGCTGCGCCTTGTGGGTGCTGAACTGAGGGTGCTCCCAACCGGTGGAGGGGTAGCCAAAAAAATGGCTAAGCTGGGTGTTCTCATCTTTGCCTGGTTCATGGAACTTGTTGCCAAAGCACACCGGTTGACTGAACAGCCTGTTGTGTTGAATGGAGCAAACGACCCAGGGTAGACTCGAACCACCATCATCGCCGCGGCACCATACCCAATGAAGGGTAGAGCCACCACTGCTGCGTGGATGCAGAAGCAACGCCAAGCCAAAAGGGCCATTGGGTCAGTTGCATCTCTTTTGTTTTATTTTCATTAAAGTCATATTTGGAAAGGTAGTTCTAAACTCGCATGACCCCCTTTGGCGCACAAGAGCGTTGCCGCATCTTCGGCACCAAAACCGGGCTGCCCCGCTAACACATCATACGCCGGGTAACACATCACACCCCTTCCTAGCAAGGCGCCAACATATAAGCCAGATTTTTGGAAGGAGGCAAAGAGCTAAAAGACCCAGGACAATATGCATCCTAACAATAGACGTCCAATCATGTTTTGACTCAAAAGCGAAGGCAAGTGGATTTCATCACCTCTTTTCTGACCTCCTGACGAATTCTAATGGGGAACCACCTCAAAAGTGGTGGGCACAGGGTCCCCCATTAAAGCTCAGACCCAGCTATGACTAGGTCTTTGCCCAGCCACCCATATCATACATGCTCAAGCTGCCGCAGCCCAGGAGCTCTGACCATTTGCGAGTCGATTCTCACTGGCGCAGCAGCGAAAAAACCCAGCGGATCCAGTCAGCCCTACAGAAAACCATGAAATCATGAAAAATCTAGATGTGCAGCAAAATCACGGTTGCCTGCTATTCTGGTAGCTGGATCCTCTGGGGGGCGGGATTCTCCCGAGCTCAAGACTTAGGGTGAGGCAGTTGTCTCTGCGGCCGTGGTTGCCGGGGCGGGAGTGGTCGTCGTGGTCGTGGTCGTGGTGGTCGTCGTGGTTGTCGTGGTCGTCACGCCCATCGTGGTCGTCACGGTGGTGATGCCGAAGAGTTTTTGGATGCTCCAAGGAGCATGGGTGGCCGCAGCTTCTGCGGCGCTCGATGTTGCACCAGCCGTCAGGAGGATTTGCACAATGTCGGCGTCCTCCTGCCAAACTGCGCGGGTGAGCATGTCAACGTGGTCACCGTCGTGAGAACTGAAGAGCTTGGCAGTTTTCACCATTTCCGTCACAACGTCCTTCATGCCATAATGCACAGCATGGTAGAGAGGCGTGCGCCCGCGGTTGTCAACGACATCTGGGCTGGCCTTCTTCGTCAGCAACCACAGGCAAACTGAGGGCAGCCTGTGAACGGCAGCCTCCGCCAGGGGACTCCAGTGGGGTCCCGACTGCGAGATGTCATCGATGTTGGCGCCTTGCGTCAACAAAGCCTCCGCAGCCGCCGTGTCTCCGTGGAGAATGGCACTGTGAAGATCGCGGTTCAACTCGTCTTTGTTCACCTCCTCTTGCAGCCGGCGGTAAGGCGAGGGGTCGGCCGAGGGTCGCGCCAGGGATTGAGCGACCACCTGAGCCAAGCCGGCGAAGACAAGGAGCAGCTTCATGGCTGGGACGCTTTGGTCCGAGTCGCGAAAGAGCTCGGAGATTGTCGCAAAAGCCAGCCCTCTTTGAGCCATATCCAAAACAAACCAGCATTTGGGCATGTTGATTGCTGAATTCTTGCAAGAATATCATTTGCATGAGACTTCTGACATTGTAATAAACGGAACAAGGTGCCGCCAGCGTTTGGGTTAGTGGCAGACCTGGGCTTTTGCTTGTGGCTCAAAAGGGTTGGGAACGGACCTTGCATGAGTCATCATCAAATGGTACCCAAGTGGTCTGCGGTCTACTCAAAAACATGCAAATAATTTAGAGGGCGGACATCCGCACCTATTTCAGGTTGTTCTCTGCGGGCTTTCATTGTGGCTCCCATTGCTTCGAATTGTGTTTCTCATTTTAGTGATTCCCCATGGCAGCGGCGTAATTTCACTTCAAATACCAATCCCACTCCATAACCCCATTCAGAAACCACTAGGGGCCCGCTTTTGTATCTAAAGGGAAGGACTAAGGAAAAGATCTTGATCGCCTTTGAACTGCCCAGAAGGGGGAGGCCGGGGAGGCCTTTGCCTCTTAGCACTCAGGTCGATGGCGCATCGATGCCGACGCGCCTTGCCGGCCTTGAGGTGGGCCGTGCCCTTGGCGCTCTCCCCCACATCCCGCTCCCTCAGCTTGCGCTCCCACGCCTCCTGAAGGGAAGAAGGTGTCCCAAGACGGCCCCTTGAAGACATGTGGCTTTCTGTTCCGACTCTGCTTCCCCTTCAAGAAAAGCGTACCTTCCCTTCAACAATTTGTGTTTCTCGTCCAAACGTCAAAATGAGAAGTTCCCTTCAGGATGGTGCGTGAATCCAAGCCATTTGACCGCGGTCCAGCTCGATATCCTATCTTAGGAAAGACCCACGCTGCCCGGCCCGAAGCCTAGCCGGGTCCTGGGAGATGGGCTTGAGGCCCGACAGCTGCCGCTTCATGTTGTACCTACAGTCGCAAGACCCACCCGAGCAGACGAGCCCATCTCATGCTGAGTCGCAGCCGGTGAAGTCTGACTAACTCCAAAAAAAGTAGAAAAAGGAAGCCTCCAAAATCCAATGGTCAAAAAGGGCAAAAGCAAAGCGCTGCAATGGTAATCCATGGGCGCCTTGCCCTTTGCTCAAACTTTCTTTCAACAACCCCAGCCTCGCCGGCCTTTCCAGCCGATGCCAATACTGACCAACCAAAAAGCGATTCTGACACACTGCACTTCCTCCCAAGCCGAAAGACCTCTCTCACGCCCATCTCTCACAGCCCAGCCCCAGGCCAACCAGCCCCAGCCACCCCCTCCAGGCAGCCCACGACCTTGGTTGGCTTGGCTTGGCTTGGCTTGGCTTAGCTTGGCTTGGCTTGGCTTGGCTTGGCTTGCCTTGCCTTGCCTTGCCTTGCCTTGCCTGGCTTGGCTTGGCTTGGCTTGGCTTGCGGCCAGGCCTGGCCTGGCCCTGGCCTTGCCTTTGCCTTGCCTTGCCTTGCCTTGCCGTGGCCTTGGCCTTTGCATGGCTTGGCCTTGGCCTGGCCTTGGCCTTGCCTTGCCTTGCCTTTGCCTTTGCCTGGCTTGGCTTGGCTTGGCTTAGCTTGGCTTGGCTTGGCTTGGCTTGGCTTGCCTTGCCTTGCCTTTGCCTTTGTTTTTGCCTTTGCCTTTGCCTGGCGTGGCTTGCCTTTCCTGGCTTGGCTTGGCTTGGCTTGGCTTGGCTTGGCTTGGCTTGCGGCCAGGCCTGGCCTGGCCCTGGCCTTGCCTTTGCCTTGCCTTGCCCTGGCCTGGCCTGGCCTTGGCCTTTGCATGGCTTGGCCTTGGCCTGGCCTTGGCCTTGCCTTGCCTTGCCTTTGCCTTTGCCTGGCTTGGCTTGGCTTGGCTTAGCTTGGCTTGGCTTGGCTTGGCTTGGCTTGGCTTGCCTTTGCCTTTGCCTTTGCCTTTGCCTTTGGCTTGGCTTGGCTTGGCTTGGCTTGTCTTGCCTTGCCTTGCCTTTGCCTTTATTTTTGCCTTTGCCTTTGCCTGGCGTGGCTTGCCTTTCCTGGCTTGGCTTGCGGCCAGGCCTGGCCCTGGCCTTGCCTTTGCCTTGCCTTGCCGTGGCCTGGCCTTGGCCTTTGGCTTGGCCTTGGCCTTGCCTTGCCTTGGCCTTGGCCTCCTTGGCCTTGGCCTTGGCCTTGGCCTTGCCTTGCCTTGCTTCCTTCACCCGAACCCGGCGAACCGGCAAATAGCAAATAGCTTTGAGCTGCGCTGGGGCCCCGGGCACATGGCGCTCGCTCTTGCAGTGCGCCCGCAGCTCCCCGGCTGCGCCGAAGAGCTCCCCGCAGGCCGCGCAGCTGAACTCTCCGGGCGCGGGCGCCGGCGCCTGGCGCGCGCGCGCGCAAACAACTTGCAGGTGCGATGGGTAGGGAAGCCCCGGGAGTAGCCGGGAGTTTGGGAAGGAACCTGGGCTGTCCCTAGGAAACCCAGCAAGACAAACGAGTCTTGTTTGAACATGCGGCTGCCCCAATAATCAAAGCAATTAGTCTGGCTGCCTAATTAAATTCGGCCTAACCTTGTAAGCAGGGTGTTTGTGGGGGAAGGGGGGGTGGGCATCCGGCTTGATCACCTACTTGCAAAGTAGGAGCCTCGGTGCACCAACAAATAACCAGGCCCAAGGTATGCAAGCCCCGAAAGCATTGGGGCCCTTTGGCTTCCTTTCGAAAACGACCTGCAAGTCACGGGATTGCCTTCAAACCACAGAAACGCAGTGCCAAACAGGTCTGGATAATTCGACACTTGCCAACAGGAATCAAGCCTATGACCTATGGGGGAGGGTTGCAGACATGCGGCATCGTCTCATTGCCTGCAGATTAGCGTGGAACCCAAAAGGGGGAGGGGTCCCCCTTTTAAACTTTTGGGCGATTCCTCTGTGGGAGACTTGGGGGTCTAAGTTGCCAGTGGCGCAGAAAACCGATGCAACTCCCTTGAGGTTCTGAGTCGATCGGACCCGATCGATCGCCTGCAAGACCTTGGGCGGGCAAAAGTCCACCGCCGCCATGGCACAAGCTTGGAGCCCGAGTTTCGAGGCTTCAAACACGCCCGGCCGAAAGGCGGGGCTTGTTGGGGTGAGGCGAAATGGACTCAGTGTCATCTCAACTTCCGCAATGTGCTGTGTGTGTGTGTGTGTTTGCGTGCTGTTGCTATTGGCTCAAGAGTAAAGCCAACTTAAGTCTCAAAACGGCTGCAATGCGGCACAGCCGTTGAACATGTTTGAGGGCAGCCAGCTAGGCAATCAGTGGGCCCCAGCATTTCTCCAGTCTCCAATCAAGTGTTCGGTCTCAAAAAGGAATCTGATTTTGACAGACCCTGGCAACTGGTCCGGGCCTTTATACACTCACAGGTTTGTCAAGTTCGAAAGGCAAGCAAAAGTTGCTATCCCAACTACATATCGGGAACAGGGCGCTAGTCCAAGGGATCCCAATGCTTCAATCGGAAACGCGGGGCACCCCAACCCTGGAAAATCCGGCATTTCAGGGTCTCTGGCAAAGCAAAGGAGTGAGGATCCGTCGGGGGGGTTGGGTTGTTGACGGCCGGGCAGGCAGCACTACTATTGTCTTAAGCGAGACTTCTGGGCCCGCTGCCGGAATCACGGAGTCGCATGTCCTGGATCGACGCAAACACAAGCAAAGCAAAAGCGCTTCCTACCAAGTCAAGCAACATTTACACGAATGTTGCCTTTGGACAGGCTCAGAAAGATTCAGCCATCTTGCTTGGGGGTCAAACAAAAAAATATAGACTGCATCAACCTCTTTTCGACTCCACGTAACAGACCCACACAACACATTTGCGATGCACCCTACATCAAATGGAATTGAGTAGCAGCATCACTGAACACATCGCCGCTGTAAAGAACAAGTTGAGCGACTTTGGTAGCTCAACTACCCGGGCGAGCAAGTGTGCTCACGGCCAACCAAAGCTCAAGAAAGGCTCCGACTTCAAGCAACATCTGTACAAGCAACAACCCTATGATGCTCAGTTACCAAGTAGCAACTTGTACCAAATTGTATCAACTTGTACCAACTTGAACAACTTTGAAACTCAGATTCTCGAGCGACCTTATCCTCAAAGCCCCAGAGAGGCTCAGAGCGTAATGAAGGTGATGAGTGCAGATTGTGTCATCATGGTCACATACCCCAGCTGCCCTCGTTCGAGAGCAAACTTGAAAAATGCGATGCCTAGATTCCGCAAAGCCTCAACTCCTCTTGCGCAACCAGCCAACAACAATCTGCGCGACTTTGGTAGCTCAAATACTCGCAGTCAAGCAACACCTGCACAAGAAACAATCAACTTGTACCAACTTCTTCCAATTTGAAACTCAGATTCTCGAGCGACCTTATCCGCAAAGCCTCAGAGAGGCTCAGAGCATAATGAAGGTGATGAGTGCAGATTGTGTCATCATGGTCACATACCCCAGCTGTTTGCGAGAAAACTCTAAAAATGCGATACCTAGATTCCGCAAAGCCTCAACTCCTCTTGCGCAGCCAGCCAACAACAATCTGCGCGACTTTGGTAGCTCAAATACTCGGGTGAGCAAGTGTGCTCACGGCCAAAATGGCTCAAGACACCATTCAAGGTGAGTGCTTCTTTGTCATCACAGCTGAAGCGAGCTTCGCAGTCAAGCAACACCTGTACAAGAAACAACCTTATGATGCTTAGTCACCAAGCAAGCAACTTGTACCAACTTGCACCAACTTGTACCAACTTGTACACTTTGAAACTCAGATTCTCGAGCGACCTTATCCTCAAAGCCCCAGAGAGGCTCAGAGCGTAATGAAGGTGATGAGTGCAGATTCTGTCATCATGGTGATGCCTAGAAGCCGCAAAGCCTCAACTCCTCTTGCGCAGCCAGCAAAGAACAAGCTGCGCGACTTTGGTAGCTCAAATACTCGGGTGAGCAAGTGTGCTCACGGCCAAAATGGCTCACGACACCATGCAAGGTGAGTGCTTCTTTGTCATCACAGCTAGAGCAAGCTTCGCAGTGAAGCAACACCTGCACAAGAAACAATCAACTTGTACCAACTTCTTCCAATTTGAAACTCAGATTCTCGAGCGACCTCATCCTCAAAGCCCCAGAGAGGCTCAGAGCATAATGAAGGTGATGAGTGCAGATTGTGTCATCATGGTCACATACCCCAGCTGCCCTCGTTTGCGAGAAAACTCGAAAACTACGATGCCTAGATTCCCCAAAGCCTCAACTCCTCTTGCGCAGCCAGCAAAGAACAAGCGCGACTTTGGTAGCTCAAATACTCGGGTGAGCAAGTGTGTTCACGCCCAAAATGACTCACGACACCATTCAAGGTGAGTGCTTCTTTGTCATCACAGCTGAAGCAAGCTTCGCAGTCAAGCAACACCTGTACAAGAAAGAACCTTATGATGCTTAGTCACCAAGCAAGCAACTTGTACCAACTTGCACCAACGTGTACCAACTTGTACACTTTGAAACTCAGATTCTCGAGCGACCTTATCCTCAAAGCCCCAGAGAGGCTAAGAGCGTAATAAAGGTGATGAGTGCAGATTGTGTCATCATGGTCACATACCCCAGCTGCCCTTGTTCGAGAGCAAACTCTAAAAATGCGATGCCTAGATTCCGCAAAGCCTCAACTCCTCTTGCGCAGCCAGCAAAGAAGCTGCGCGACTTTGGTAGCTCAAATACTCGGGTGAGCAAGTGTGCTCACGCCCAAACTGGCTCACGACACCAATCAAGGTGAGTGCTTCTTTGTCATCACAGCTGAAGCAAGTTTCGCAGTCAAGCAACACCTGTACAAGAAACAACCTTATGATGCTTAGTCACCAAGCAAGCAACTTGTACCAACTTGAACGAACTTGTACCAACTTGTACACTTTGAAAATCAGATTCTCGAGCGATCTTGTCCTCAAGGCCCCAGAGAGGCTCAGAGCGTAATGAAGGTGATGAGCGCAGATTCTGTCATCATGGTGATGCCTAGAAGCCGCAAAGCCTCAACTCCTCTTGCGCAGACAGCAAAGAACAAGCTGCGCGACTTTGGTAGCTCAAATACTCGGGTGAGCAAGTGTGCTCACGGCCAAAATGGCTCACGACACCATGCAAGGTGAGTGCTTCTTTGTCATCACAGCTAGAGCAAGCTTCGCAGTGAAGCAACACCTGCACAAGAAACAAACAACTTGTAATTACCAACTTCTACTAAATTGAAACTCAGATTCTCGAGCGACCTTATCCTCAAAGCCCCAGAGAGGCTCAGAGCATAATGAAGGTGATGAGTGCAGATTGTGTCATCATGGTCATATACCCCAGCTGCCCTCGTTTGCGAGAAAACTCTAAAAATGCGATGCCTAGATTCCACAAAACCTCAACTCCTCTTGCGCAGCCAGCAAAGAACAAGCGCGACTTTGGTAGCTCAAATACTCGGGTGAGCAAGTGTGCTCACGGCCAAAATGGCTCACGACACCATTCAAGGTGAGTGCTTCTTTGTCATCACGGCTGAAGCAAGCTTCGCAGTCAAGCAACACCTGTAAAAGAATGTGCATTATGATGCGTAGTCACCAAGCAAGCAACTTGTACCAACTTGTACCATCTTGCACCAACGTGTACCAACTTGTACACTTTGAAACTCAGATTCTCAAAGCCCCAGAGAGGCTAAGGTGATGAGTGCAGATTGTGTCATCATGGTCACATACCCCAGCTGCCCTCGTTTGCGAGAAAACTCGAAAAATACGATGCCTAGATTCCCCAAAGCCTCAACTCCTCTTGCGCAGCCAGCAAAGAAGCTGCGCGACTTTGGTAGCTCAAATACTCGAGTGAGCAAGTGTGCTCACGGCCAAAAATGACTCACGACACCATTCAAGGTGAGTGCTTCTTTGTCATCACAGCTGAAGCGAGCTTCGCAGTCAAGCACACCTGTACAAGAAAGAACCTTATGATGCTTGGTCACCAAGCAAGCAACTTGTACCAACTTGCACCAACTTGCACCAACTTGTACCAACTTGTACACTTTGAAACTCAGATTCTCGAGCGACCTTATCCTCAAAGCCCCAGAGAGGCTCAGAGCATAATGAAGGTGATGAGTGCAGATTGTGTCATCATGGTCACATACCCCAGCTGCCCTCGTTTGCGAGAAAACTTGAAAAATACGATGCCTAGATTCCGCAAAGCCTCAACTCCTCTTGCGCAGCCAGCAAAGAACAAGCGCGACTTTGGTAGCTCAAATACTGGGGTGAGCAAGTGTGCTCGCGCCCAAACTGGCTCACGACACCAATCAAGGTGAGTGCTTCTTTGTCATCGCAGCTGAAGCAAGTTTCGCAGTCAAGCAACACCTGTACAAGAAACAACCTTATGATGCTTAGTCACCAAGCAAGCAACTTGTACCAACTTGCACCAACTTGTACCAACTTGTACACTTTGAAACTCAGATTCTCGAGCGACCTTATCCTCAAAGCCCCAGAGAGGCTCAGAGCGTAATGAAGGTGATGAGTGCAGATTCTGTCATCGTGGTGAAGCCTAGATTCCGCAAAGCCTCAACTCCTCTTGCGCAGCCAGCAAAGAACAAGCGCGACTTTGGTAGCTCAAATACTGGGGTGAGCAAGTGTGCTCGCGCCCAAACTGGCTCACGACACCAATCAAGGTGAGTGCTTCTTTGTCATCACAGCTGAAGCAAGTTTCGCAGTCAAGCAACGCCTGTACAAGAAACAACCTTATGATGCTTAGTCACCAAGCAAGCAACTTGTACCAACTTGCACCAACTTGTACCAACTTGTGCACTTTGAACTCAGGTTCTCGAGCGACCTTATCCTCAAAGCCCCAGAGAGGCTCAGAGCGTAATGAAGGTGATAAGCGCAGATTCTGTCATCATGGTGATGCCTAGATTCCGCAAAGCCTCAACTCCTCTTGCGCAGCCAGCAAAGAAGCTGCGCGACTTTGGTAGCTCAAATACTCGGGTGAGCAAGTGTGCTCACGGCCAAAATGGCTCACGACACCATGCAAGGTGAGTGCTTCTTTGTCATCACAGCTAGAGCAAGCTTCGC